AGGTAGACGTGTTTTCGAGTTTCATCCCTGATCAAGGTAGGGTGCACCTGAGAATTAATGGCTATCTAGAAGTATACAATTACAAATTTCTCGAACCAAATCTGCTACTAAATTCGCAAAACAAGGTTGACATTTCGGAAATATTTATCGCTAGTAGTGTCTTCACAATGCAGAGAAAGTGTCATTGAACTCGACGCCATTTCGCGATTGTCACAAAGATTCACACGTACCGGGCGTCTGCTCTGTCATTCCTACCACAAGGCTGTGAATGCTGGACTGTGCCCGCGGAAGATGAACGCAATTTGGTCGCGTTTGACCCTCATAGTCTAGAAACTATTTGTCGGGCGGAGGACATTGACTTTATCTCAAATGAGACAGCTCACAGCCGCTGCAACAACATAGTGAGTATATCTAAGGGCCTTTAGCAGAAACGGCTGAAGCGATTTGGGCACGATCTTTGTCTAGCATTGCTAACCGAAAAAAAGAATGGGAAAAGCTCTGCAGATCCGCTGCCGCAGGGGTCCACGATTGAAGGCGTGCCATCTGCGATAGTATAGAATTAGGCTAATCCGGGCATGATTACGAGTGTGCTACGTAAAATTAGGCATTTTTGTTTCCCTGTTTGCTGACAGAACTAGTCTTCGCTATCCTGTGATCGAGTTTACAGCCTACTTAAACGCGAAGTAAACAGATCCGTTTAACGCCCGCATGTCATGTGCTCGTTTTTTAAAAAAAAATATCCGCCAGAAACTGCACGTGCGCTGAAGTTTTCAGGCTCCTGGAATCCGTGTTTCAAGTCGGTCTACCCTCGCCTCTTTTTCATTATCATATTTGCTTTCCTTTCCCATTTGGTTGTACTGTTTTTTTTTCTTGGACATAAATACTCTGCTTTCGATAGTAACATCCGGTCCTTTTAAATACTCTGCAGGATAATCGGTGCGGACCAAGAGGAAGTAGTTCTCGAGGATTTCGAGGACCTTCTTCCACCCTTCTTGCTGCCCGAACAGGCAAGCAACAGCAACAGCAGCCACATGACCTCGCGAACTAGTAGCCAGGCTGGCTCAGGTGAGTATGCGACCACACCTTGCATAATCTCCGCCAATTTAGTCAGTTCGTGCATTTCATCTACGAAGCCGGACGGTGATAAACCATCACCATCACCAACAACAGCAGCTGAAAGTAATGGCACGGCAACACCCATTACCGACGACTGCTCAGACTGTTCTAGCGACGTGATCATAGTGGAGGAGTGTGAGGCGGTCGATACTGGTCGTGCTGGTCGCGCGACAAGTAGACGTCAGTCCTCCCGAGTGCTACGTACCCGTTCGCTGAACACTATTCAGCCAGCACGCCCTGCTGCCTCCACAAACAGCTGCTTGACCCGCAAAAATCGCAGATCTACCCTCGTCCCGAGTAAGCGACCCCTGGTAAGTGATACTGGGTTTCTTTCCGGCTTTGTACACGTGCATATACAATGGGTGATCAAACTAATAGGATTGTGACTGAATTGTTACGAAATGTGCTATAGGTTGGGAAAAAAACCTTTGCAAGATTGCTGTACCAATTATCAGACAACATACTCCCATGGCCTTTCATGCCTATCAGGCTGTTAGATTTTGACTACTCTTTTTTCGGTGTCCCGCATTATTTAAATAGTTTTTCAGTGCCCTTATAAATGCGAGCATATTTTATAGAAAGTATGCACAAATTGCGACTTCATTTTTTGATAATCGAAGAACAGGGCATATTTTAGTCCTTAAAGTTTACGATTGGGAGGAAGTTCGAGACGATAAAGTGCTTACTCAAGTACCCTCTAGTTTGTTAATGCTGCCTTTAGAATGTGTCATACGGTCCAAAGTTATTGCTAATTTTGATGCGCGCCAAATGGCATTTTCTTAATAGCCTTCGGGACTGGGCGGTGCTCCATAGACGGAAAGTACACACCATTTCGGTCGAAAGTCCTTAACGCATCAGTAGCGAGGGTTGGCAAACTGTTCGAAACCAAAAGACACCCCCCCTTCTGAAAGTAGAAAGCCTAAGGAAGACTTAGTATACATTTAACAAAGTAAGTGTAAGATAGGGTTTAGGCATGTCTGCTGTTGCTTAACAAATGTGGTTTTTGCAGGTAGCCAGGGAACGATGCGTATTCATGCGGTGATGTTCTCGTGACCTCTGTGATCTTCTCCTCATGTGACCCTTAGGATATTGATAAAACCGCGATGGGCTCCTCCTGACATGCTTCAAACACTTTCAGCAGCAGGCCACCTGATTCGCAAATACTCTACCCCCCCTCCCCCCACCCTTTTCCACGGGCAACAATTTTCTCCTTAAAATCCCGCAAATGGCATTCAAACCCCTAGAATTCTGAACAATGCCTATGGAGTTTTTATTGTGTGCTCTTTTTACGCGGTTCCATTACTGGCAACGCCACATGCTGGGCATAGTTGCTTTGTACCAAGGAGGAGTTCAAAGTTATTTACCTATATTTCCCCTAATAAACCTGACCTGGCCTGGCCTGGCCTGACCTGACATAATGGCATGCGTGGAATACCTTGAGATTATGTTACTTGGGGTCACAATTCTAGCACAGTATTTCCGATCACAACCGAAAATACTACGAACCCTTTGCTTACTGACACATCGCTGGATAATGACAAAAGAATGTGGAGCCAGCCTGACGATGACTAACAAGCCACCAATGGCCATCCCAGTCTCCCTGATCTTTATCAGTACCATCTTATCTACCTGCACTACTAGTCGCTATGCGACTGCTGCCCTGGAGGGCTCCAACGGGACGACCCCTTTCCCCAACCTCATCAATGAGCACCCCTCTATCACGACCAATTACCCGATGGAGACCAACAGAACAACGGCCCCGTGGCTCAGTGATGGCCATCGGACCAACACAAAGCGGATTCGAGCCTCGGAGATGACAGACTTGAGTATAACTAGCGGATAGCGGCTAATAAGCCAGTCCTTCTTGTTCTTGTCGGTAGCGTCATGCTACTCATACTACGCGATCGATAAATGCTCCTCTATCATACATATTTTTAGTAGTAAGGGGACTC